TAATTTTAAAATCAAAATAAGACAGTATATGCGAGTTAACTCCTTAGGATCAGTCTCGTGCTTAATTTTGTCAGGTTTATTAATTATTTTATCAAATGCTCATGAGGTTCAGTAAGAATCGATTGAATAATTTTAGTGTTTGCTTGCCCCAATTTTTAGAATAATTCTTTTACCAAAAAAAAAAAGTTAAAGCTGTGTTAAACACAATTTTTATTTTTTTTTAACCTTTTGTCTTTTCTGAAGCTGGTTATTCTAGAAAGAAGCATTTGGGCGTAGACTATGAAGAAAATATGTACTCAATTTTTATTGCAAGAAAGTATTTTTTGAGTAAACTTCTAAAAATATAAAATAAACATATATTTTTTTAAATTATTTAAATATTTTTAATAAATTACTTATGTGTTAATTTGTTAAAAATATTTAAATATTTTTATAAATATTCCTATATTTCTTTATATAAGTTGACTTAAAACATTTCTGTTTTATTTTTTTACTAAGCACTAGTTTTAGTTTTTTTTTTTTTTTTCTTCCTTCAAGCATCAGTTTTTTAGATCAAAAGAGAGAAGCTTACGAGTATATATAGAACCAAGGAAATGCTTAACTTGTAGATTAAAAAGGAATATCATAACTTTATTCGGAGACAAGAATCCCATCAATGTCATTTCCTATAAAAAAAAAAAAGAAAATTTCATCCTTAAGGTGGAATTACGCTAAATAGGTTTATTATTCCTTAGATATTGGGGTATATTATGATTATTTTTTTGATATTGATAAAATACTTTCCAATTCCACACTTTTCATAGAATATTTATTAATAAAATATTATTATTTAGTTGGAAATTAAAGATAAAAAACTTAAAAATACAATCATGCATAGGAGAACAAGGAGTACTCTAACCCATATTTACAATACTCCCATCATCGTTATCAAAATTCCACTCACCTTTTACAAAATAAGAAACAAAATTAAGCTTCACATAGAGCTGGAAATTGGCACCAATCACTGTAATTGAACATAGCAGATTTAGATTTCCCCTTTATCCAACCAAAGGTCTTTGTTAACACCAACTCAAAGATAGTGTTTTCATTCCAAGTAAGGTTGTTAAACACTATACCATTACGAAAATATCAAATGGCCCATGCTGTTGTAACAACAGAAAGCACCCAACAACTTTGAGATTTTATGCCAGGCTTAAGTGAACAAAGTTGCAAAAGGAGGAGGGAGGCGTTACCAACGGGAGAAAAGGAGTTCCCCACCAGCAGCATAATCGAGTCCAGATGTTTTGGGAAAATCGACACAATGCAAAGATGTGGTTAATATCTTCCACACTATCACCACAAAAAACACATTTTGGGTTGGAAGAAAGGTCAATACCACAATTGAGGAGGTTGTCTTTAGTGGGTAGTCTATTCAAGAAGAGGCGCCATGCAAAAACACTAATTTTTGATGGCATAAACTGATTCCAAATCACCTTGCAACATTTCTCATCAAGGCACAGAGGGAAATCATCAAGAAATTTGTAAGCTTGCTTGGAGGAATAACTTGTTGAGTAGTGCTTCCAAATGAACTTGTCAAGTCTTCCATCTGATAAATTAAGATTTCGGAGAGAATCTTCAAGCCTTTCAAGCTCATCCAATTCTTTACCGAAGGGAGGTCTGCGCCACTGAAAAGCCCACCCATCTGCATTACCCAGCTTCAATTTGGCAACCAGAGCAGCCTTGCTTAATGTAAGGCAAAAAAGGCAAGGGTAAGAAAACATCAACGGAGAGCTGCCCATCCAAGCATCCTTCCAAAATCTAGTGTTTGAGCCATCACCAAGCTTACAGATAAAACCATCATCAAAACACCCAAAAGCTCTATCACAATCCCTCCCAATAGATAAGATATCCTTCCAAAAGGGAGAGAGGCTCGAAGAGGCAATGTTAGAAATAGAAGTAGAAGAAACTTCATCATAATATTTTCTAACAAGAATTTTTTTCCATAATTTCTCATTTCCTTCAGCATCATAAAAATTATTCCACCATTTTCCTAGTAAAGCAGAATTCCTAATAGAAAGGTTTGGGATGCCAAGCCCTCCCTTTGATTTCGCAAGGCAAACTCTCCCCCAATTAACCCAAGCAATCTTATTATAGCCGTTTGAACTCCCCCACAAAAAGTTTTTTTTTTGTATTTTCTCTAACTCACTAACAACACCTTTAGGGACCTTAAATATATAAAAGTAAAAAAGAGGGAGAGTCGAAAATACCGACGTGAGGAGTGTGATGCGTCCTCCAAATGATAAGAGCTTTCCCTTCCAAGTTGCCAACTTAGGGCCTGTTTGGTGTGCATTGTGGGAAGAGCTTTTTGGCTCTAAAAGCACAAGCCACACCAAACAGGGTAGCTTCTCAAAGTGGCTGCAGCTTTTGAGAAGCTCAGCTTCTCACTTTTCCTTTGCAAAGCCGGAAGCTCCCAATTCTTACTTCTGCGGGAGCTTCTCGCCTAAACGTTTAATGAAATTGACCTGCCATCCCCATTTTGTCCTCACATTTCTTTTTATTTACAAAAAAACCACTATATAAAGGGCCATTTTATAACATCACAGCCACTGTTGTTTCTTCTTCCTCATCCAATCAAACAATCAGAGAAACAAATCGATAATCCTCATCCAATCAAAGAAACAAACGAAAAATATCCAACAAACCGAAAATACTTACATTCTTCCTCATTTTCTTTCCCTCGAAACCGAAAATCCCCTCATCTTTCGTTCGGAGACGAACCCAGGAGCTGGGTTTGCGGCAAACCCCGCGCTTGGGTTCCGAGGCGAACCCAGCGCTTGGGTCCGCGATGAACTCAGCGCCTGGGTCCGCGACAAACCCAGCGCCTGGGTTCTGAGACGAACCCAGCGCGGGTTCGTCGCAAACCCTTCCCTTGGGTTCCGAGACAAACCCAGGTGCGGGGTTCGTCTCGAAACCCAGGCGCCGGGTTCGTCGTAGAACCTGGGTTCGCGCGAACCCAAAGGTGAAAAAAAAAAGAAGGGAAAAAACAGCA